CCATGAATAGCCCTCTTTCCCTGAGCCAGCCCTCACACACAAAGCACCAGATCCATGTGAAGATGGAGACTCAGGTCCCCATTGCTTAGTCCGTTAGACCATGTGGCCTCTCCTTATGGCCAGAAGTCACATTAGTTGCTTGGTCAAGAAGTTGGCTCAGCTGCAGGCAGCCAGTAGGGAGGGAGCTTGCAGCAGCAGTCCCGCTGCCACCAGAGGTGGCTTGGATAGCACTGTCCCTTACAGCTGTGAACAGACTTTGGGTCTTCCCCAAAAATTAAGGGATCTTTGGTCATGGTTCTTACAAAACCCAGCCCTGGATGGTCATCAGGTCTACGATTTTTTCTGGAAAAAAATTCATTGACAAGCTTTCAACCTTAGTGATCAGCATGTACTTGCAGTGTTGCCAACTCCTATGACTTTTTCAACAGTCTTGTAATATTTGATGATTTGATTTAAGATGCTAAAGAAAAGCGATTATGTGAGAATCTCTGCTTTTATTTAAGACTAAAGAAATTTCTAGGCCTCGTGGTTGTAGAGAAAAGCTCGAAAATGTGATTGGTACACATGGTAAGGGCTGACAAACCAGAAGACAAATAAAAAGGCCCTAGAATCTTTTGTTTTTAAAAATCTGATTACTTTTAAAGTCACTCTCATTATTTTGGGGGAGCAGACTGAACGTTTGGGGTTGCAGTACTGCATCAGTTACATTTTCAAGGGTTATAAGATCATTTGTCCAGGGGATGTTGCACGCATGTCTTGAAAAGTGGCACCCACGTGGGCAGACGTCTGATAACTTAGAGGTGGGGTTCAGAGAGGCACCCAAAAGTTCTAATGCTCTTTAGACTGCAAAATTGGGTTGAAACTTATTCAGGCTTCAATAATTTCAAATACCTTTGTGGATCTGGGCCTTAGTTTGTCCTCATTTCCCCATCTGTAAAATGGGGATAGTAACATTTCCCTATCTCACAGAGGTATTGTAAAGATAAATACATTAAAGACTGTGAGGCACTCAGATGCAATGGTAATGTGGGCCGGGCCATATAGGTAGAGCTGTGTGAATAAGTGATTTTTCAGTTCACTGGCCAAACTGGGGGGGAGGGGTCATTTCAGCATGAATTCATGAAATGTCTCCATTGCCTGAATTTTTCAGTGGAAAAAAAATTTGTCCAAAAAGTGTCAGCCAACTCTACATATAATCACTTGGGATAGATATAGATAGATTTACAGTACTTCTCTCAATTATCAGGTCTGTAAATCTGTCATCATCCCTAAAACACTATCTGAATTAGACACCACTTCGCCTATTTCTTTGTTAACTTGATTGAAAATGTTTAATTTTCATTTTTTTGGTTGAAAAACGGAAAATTTTCTGTGAACTTTTTTCAAGTTATCATATTTAATTTCTTTAGAAATGTTTCACAAAAAGATTTACTATTTTCCAGCCAGCTCTACTCACTACATTACAACCAACTGGTAAGACCAGTGCTGTGAAAGTGCATGGGACATCTGTTGTGTGTGGACACAAGGCAGTATTTCAGGGACTCTCTTTTGGTTCTGTGAGTGTACAGTACTAGCACAACAGGGTTCTCAGCCATGAGCAGGGCTCACAGGCACTACCGCAATACAAATAGAAATAATTATATAGACATTGCAAGCTTGAAGTGTTCCTACACCTTGTTGCCTAGAATCAACAGTACAGAGAGTCCAAGTTGGCATGAAGTAACAGGGAACTTGGTTGCAAGAAATAAGAGTGGAAGGGGAAAATGAAGCCATTATGTCTTACTCTTCACCATCATCAATGACCACAACTCACTACCAGCTGAAGAAGTGGAGAAGGGAACTGAGGGAGCGGGGTGGGGAGGGAGGAACACAGAGACACTCCACTTCAGAACTTATCTTTTCAGCAGATTCCCAGAAACACCTGCCCCATGATCGGTCACCAAACGACTTAGTGGAGTAGTTTCACAAGACTGCCTGTATTCCACTAAGTGAAAATAGCCTCCCTGACCTGCTTTGCAAGACTGCAATTTAAACCTATATATCATCTGCAACTAGACAGATATTTCTAGAGGCTATTGCTGAAACATATCCTCTTGGAATTCAGAATTAACACTTGTACGATACCTCCTGTCAAATATCAAACACTCCTGTAAAATGTTAAGTAAATACCCAGCCATTAACGTCATTGTTTGGGGATATGTTTAATCAGAAAAGCAGTACTCCTCAGGAAATGATGAAACAGCTGATGCTTCGATTGTCCCATTATACTGTGCATTTCCAATCATCTCTTTTCCTGAATGAAGGTAACCCCGTCTCTATGAGTGAAACATCCTCCATGTAAATCTAAAATGAACAATACATTCAACAGGCTAACAGGGGATGTGACACGCTCTTGTGCAAACATGTATGTCCTTGACATACCTGCTAGACAGGGGAGAGCCAGAGCAAAGGTTTAGATCAAATACATAAAATAGCCATGAATATTTTATGGAAATTCTAGGAAAACATTTCATAAACAACACTGTTCAGATCACCTGACTTCATCAAACTGCTGGGTAGCCTAGACCAGAATACATTATTTCTCTTTACTCTATCATCGAGTAAATTGTAATAAAATTGTAATAGGTAATATTAGCACCACTCTGTCACACAGAATATCAACTGACAAATACTGTACAGATGTTGTCCGGCACTGGGAAGATACTATCGGAGGTCTGGATTGTCTCTCATATAATCTCTGAGTGGAGGGCTGATTGAGTGAGCTGTTTTACTAGATTTAAATAAAATCTATACATTTTGGCACAGTGAACAAATTTCCAGTTACTAAATAATAATTCTGATTAACGGGGATGGGATTTGACCCTGATTCAGCAGCGTGATAAAGCAAGCGTTCAACTTGAAGCATCTGCTTACATTCATCATTACTGAGGCAAAGACTGAAGCAAATGCTTAACTTCCAGCCTGTCCTTAAGCTTCATTGACCTTAGTGGACCTTAAGCACATTCAGTGTTTTGCTGAATCAGGGCCTTATTTAGGATGGTTCCATCCCATGCAATTTGTTTTCCCCAACAACAGTGAATGGCAGGGGCTGAGACAGTAAGACGGATGAATGTAGAACAAATCATAATGGGAATTTATAAATAGCACTTTTGCTGTGTCCTTATGTTTTATAATAAAGTAGAAAAATGCAAATGTTCCTTGAAACAACAAAAATACCCATCAACTAAGTTAATATGGCCTCCTCACTTATTGATTCCTCTGGCTGTTATTACTGTACCTTGTCTTTGAAATCCACTTAATAGGGTGCTCTGTCACCAGGAAACGCAACAGAAGCCAGACAGGGAGATCTGATTATCTGAGGAATTCTGTAGCACACTGAAAGTGTGGGGATAATTTAGAATATAATTACTCATACTAGCATTTGCCCAGGACACCATAGCAGAGAAGAGCAACAATTGAATAGGCATAGAGGTCCAGATCCTCAGCTGGTGAAAGCTGGTATAGATCCACGGATCTCAATGGAGCTGCATGGATTTACACCAGCCGGGGAACTGGCCTAGATCCTGAACTATCCTCTCATAATTACAACTGGTCTCTCTAGGTCCATACTGGGGCATGTTGGCAGGGCAGTACGAGAAGCCTGTGCTACTCCTGCTGCCTGTGCTGAACCTGAAGGTTGGATAAACCGAGGAATTCAACATTTCACTAAAATCCCCCTTTTTCCTTACGATGACAGATCTTTTTATATGGCTGAGGATTATAAACTAGAGTCTTTCAAACAGATGGCACACATACAAACTGGACAGTCAAGTGAAGAGACGGGTATCCAGAAAGGCCTTGAGGAACAGCTTATATCCATTATTAACACTTCATTTGGATCTACATAAGTCAAATGAAAATTTCAGTAATGGTATTAGCAAGATTTGCTACTGTGAGAAGTATTCCTTGCTGCCAATTTTTCCCGGAATACCAGAAGTGACGGGACATCAGCAAGGCAGAGTTTTTACTAAGCCTTAAGAAGAAGCAGGCAGCTTTTACAAATGGGTGAACTGCTTCCACACCTGCTTTTCCTGATCAGTAGATATCTAAAATATGCTCAAGTTGTTGAGAGTGGCTAGTTAATAGCTAGTTAAACTTTAGATCAAATGGCGGACTAAAGAGATCATAGGACTCTACAGCCCAAGAAGCTGTTGGACAGTATGGGTGTTCAGAAACTATATGAGGTATGTCTACATTGCAGCTGGAAACAAGCTTCCCAGCCCGGGCCTACAGCTTTGTGTTCGAGGGGCTCAAGCTAGCATGCTTTATGGTTATGCAGACGCTGCAGCTCTGGCTGGAGCTTGGGCTCTCAGGCCTGGAACATCAAAGCAACATCTACACCATTACTTGTAGCATGTTAGCACAAACTCTGCTAACATGAGTCTGTAGACCTGGGCTGGGAGGCTCACTCCCAGATGCAGTGTAGACATATCTTATTGTTACTGGATCTTCTTCCAATAAATGCTAATTAATATACCAGGAACTTTTTAGCTAAGCAGGCGGAGTGCTTAAAAAAATGACCATGGTGAATCGCAAGCAGATTTTGATGCAAAAAGTTTGATTTGTGTCCCCTATCCCGCCTCCAAAATCAACATTTTGCCATTGTGCTTTTAAAATAATACATTCCAGATCGACGTACCAAAAACCTAAATGAGAGCAAATATCGAATTGCACAGAGACCTCCAAATTTTTTCTCGATGACATTTTTTCTAATCCTCTAATTCAGAAGCTGTGACACAATGAGAAATTTGGAAAGTGCCTTTCCACACACACTACAGACAAAATGAAAAGGAGTTTACCTTTGTTTGAACCACAGCCTGTCACGTTTCCACTGCTGTGTAATGTATTATTTAATTATAGCAGCTGCCTGCTCTCAGGAAGACGGCAGCGTCTCTTGCTAGACCTCTGGAGCTCAGAAGCCCTGTAGCATTCTAAGGAGGAGCTGTAAAGCTGAAAGGTTAACTTACCCGTTTGCGGTCAGATAAGGTCTTCTCATTGGCCAAGGTGCTGAAAGTTGTGGTCTGAAAAACAGAGTGTGAAAAATCTGTTAACCCTGACTAAATAGTTAAGTGTCATATTCACTGCACGGCAAACACAGAGCTCTCCCCTCTACTGTGCTGACTGCTAACACTTAGAGTCTACTCCAGTGACTCTCAACCTTTCCAGACTTCTGTACCCCTTGCAGGAGGCGGTTTTGTCTTGCATACCTCCAAGTTTCACCTCACTTAACTACTTGCTTACAAAATCAGACATAAAATACAAAAGTATCACAGCACGCTATTACTGAAAATTGCTTTACTTTCTCATTTTTACCCTATAATTATAAAATAAATCAAGTGGAATATAAATATTGTACTCACATTTCAACGTAGAGCAGTATAAACAAGTCATTGTCTGTATGAAATTTTAGTTTGTACTGACTTCGCTAGTGCTTTTTATGTAGCCTGTTGTAAAACTGGGCAAATATCTAGATAAGTTGATGTACCCCCCAGAAAAGCTCTGCGTACCCCTGGGGGTACACATACCCCTGGCTGAGAATCTAGTCTTCCCATTGATGTACCTCCCAATGCTCATTAAGGGCCAGATTCTGCCCCCTTTACGCATGTACAATAGTACCTTTCAATGCAAATAGTCTCACTGATTTCAATAGGGCTAGTCTCGGGGTCAGGTACCATTCAACATGAGCAAGGATGGCAGAATAAGGCCCTAAAATTACAGTACACATTGAAACTTAAGCGTAAAATACCAACAGTCAATGAATAGTCATAGGGACTCTGCCTCAGGAGTAATCCATGGCTCAGATTTCAGAACCGGTAGGTTTGGTGCCAGTCTTGTAGTTAGTGTGGTTCTCCTACATTTATTACTTTCATGTTTTGCCCCCATCTACAGTTGGCTTAGTGTTAAGAGACTTCACTGACTTTCTCTGAGCAGTACATTTAATCATGCACATATTCATTCATAACTCCAACATTCATAACCTTCATTCAGGGGAAGGATAACAGCATCAGCTTGCCCTTCTCATGGGGGATTCTGGATTCAATCCCGTCTGGGACTAATTTAACCCGCAGAGCTTGAGGGCCACATCGTGACAAGGGAGCGTGGGACTGAACCCAGGTTGACCTTCTCTCTCATAGCAGGCCTGTCTGTCAGTCAGATGTACCCTTGTCATATGATCCTCATGCTCTGGGATGTAAAGTAGTCACAGGTCAGAGGCTGAATCCAGACTCCCTGAAAGGGGACAGTGACCTTCTGAGAGGGAAGCTTGTTAAAAATCCCCCAAGTTCTTTTTCGTAAAAGTCCAAGTAGGGTAGAAAGCATGGAGGCCATTGCCTAAAAATGGAATTCTCATTGTACTCAAAAATATCACTTCCTCTTCCCATCCAAAGAAATTAGAGCGTTAGACTCCCAGATTTCTCTACCAGCACACGTGACATCACAAGTATCAAACGAAGATAAGCTCATGTTTCCATTCCCTTTGTGTGTGTCACTGTGATGTCATTCACGCTGGCAGAGAACACAGGAATACTCAAATTTTATGGAGGTAATTTTATTAAAACACAGTGCTGATTACATTTTTGAACAGCTATCTATTCCCTTCTTCTTCTCAGAATGTAGAAGTTTAACTTCTAGCAGAATCTCTAAAGATTTAGGATGACTTAATCTTGTGTGGCAGCACCATTTGCCTTGATGTGCCGAGATCTAGATGAAGAATTTACCCTAGGATTCTTACTCCCCTGTCTAGTGCATGCAGACCCAAAATGCTTTTCGAGGGAGAAGTGTAGTGGGAAACATACCCTCTAGCTCTCTTTTGCTGACCTATATACGAAGCAGTTTTTGATGGACACAATAAAAAACAGAGCTGATGAGAAGCCCAAGCTTATTATTGTCCTGAGGCACTTAAAACCCCTAATTGCATATTTCACTAATCACTTATTATTTGTTTAATATTAACATCTAAAGGACTCAATCAACAATTGTGCCCCATTGTGCTATGCACTGAGCAAATATACACACAGTAAGAAACAATCCCTTCCCTGAAGAGCAACATTTTCTAGAGAAGACAGACAAAGGGTAGGAGAAATTGATAAAACATACAAACAGAAGGTGGGGAATTGAGGCACAGAACAATTAAGTGACTTGCTCAAGGTCACACAGGCAGTCTGTGATTGAGCTGGGAACTGAACGCAGATCTATTGATTCCCAGTCCACGGCCTTAATCACCTAGAAAGCCTTCCTCTCACCATAATCCCCAACACTCACATAATAAATTAAAGAGCATATCTAGGGAACCAAAACACTTTCAAACCCCAAAAGAATTCGCTCTTTTTGACAGCAAACACCATCCTGTAATTCCCAGATAAAAAAATGTTAAAAAGCAGTTAGATATAAACTACAAACCAGTGACTGTCTGTGGATGCAGACTGCAGTACTTGTGCATACAAATCATTTTATATGCAGAACCGTAGAAATTTTAAAGTCACATTTAAGCCTGGTAATGAGTCTGAAGGTGCCTAGACCATGTGCTGGCTCTCTGCACAGGGTTATTTTCACCCTTTGGGGTTAGTTAAAAAGGAAGCCCTACAATGAGTGCTATTGATGTTAGGAGTAGTTGCAGCTGATATCCAAGTCTTCAGACAGATATACCATCAGACCGAGGAAGGGCCAAGAAGTTTTGATGAATGATAAACCTCCCTGAAAGTCAAGGAGGGTTGAAAGTCTGGTCATCATTTCCCATGTCTTCGCTCTATGCCTGCTGTGCTTCTTAACATTATACCAATGCCAACAACTTCTTGCTCATTGGAGCATGAGGGGACATGAACCAGGGGCCTATTACAGAGCACAAAATTCTCTTGTGAAATAATTTGTAGTGGCAGGATACAGCAACTCCACAAAGCAAGGGAGGTTTAAGGTGTCTCAGACACTGTGTTTTTTCTTGATTCTGACCACCAGGGCCTTCCACAAAATGCACTACAAACTTTTTGCAAGTGTTTCAATAATCATCTTTATTCCTACTCATACCAGGTCACATTTCTTTACCGGCCAAATGGGAACAATTATCACTGTAGAATAATATACTCAAAAGCATTGTCTAAAATTGTACTCCATGTATAAATGATAAAATTCTAATGCTTTCCAGGGATTTGCGAATACTGGAAATTTCAATTAGTCAAGTGAAAAGCATTTACATGTGTCAGCAGGATTTATATTCCAAACTAAAGACAATCTTCTGCATCCTATTTAGTTAATGAAGATTTGGAGCACTCGGGTAATCAAAGGGAAAGCTCATGTGATAAAA